TTTTTCATTATTATTTATCCATACCTCATATAGCCCCATAGATTTAGAGTAAAAATCCATATTTTTATCTTTTGCCCATCTAGACTTAAGGTTTGTCTGTTGCCAAGTAAGTTTGATATCTTTTTTGTTCATCTCTTCTTCCATAATCAGTATACCTTTATCATCTAATAAATCAGAATATTTCCATCTACAATGTCTAGTAAGCAATGTGGGTTTGGTAAATGCCTCAATAGGGGATATCCATAATGGAATCTTCTGGTAATGTTGAGTTCTTCCCAAACTCTAAATAAGGCATCTCTAATTATATGTTGTGAGAAGTGGCTGAATCTTGTAACTTTGCATAAAAATGCATGCCACCCCATCATAAGATCGTGTCCCTCTAGTCTTAACAATTTTGTATTTTCTAAAATTACCCACTCTTTGATCCAGGTCAAGGCCACAGCCTTGAAATATAACCTCCAATCCGGTAAAGTCAAGCCCCCTCTTTCTTTTTTATCTTGCATATATTTCAATTTTATCCTTGGCCTTTTACCTTGCCAAATGAAATCCTTATTCAGCTTCTCCAAATTTTTAAAGAAGATTTTGTTTTTAATTATGGGAATTGTTTGGAATAGAAATAGTACACGTAGTAACACATTATTTTTGTTTTACTCTTTTAAATTTTTAGTGCAGCTACCTTACCATAAATTTGTAATTTTGTACTAATTGATCGATCGAAGACTGTGGTTTTTCTAGCATATATACCATGTTGTCGGCAAAGGCAGGACTTGGTATTTGTTGATCTCCTTTCTTTTCTATTCTGCTGTCTCCCAGGGTTGCCGTGTCAATGATCCAAACCCTATTTCTCATTGTTTCTACAATTGTGATGTCAGGGGTGTTGTGCTCCAGGTGTTTATCTGCTTGTGCTCCACGTGTTTATCGGTTTGTAATCGGAATTCCCAAAGAATCTTCATTTCATCGTTCTCCATGATCTTGTCTGCTTTGTGCTCCCCTGAATTTCTGGCTGATGGTAAGCCATACTTCTTGCAAAGATTCCAGTGCAATACAGCTGCAACTCTATTGCATAGGCACAGACAATGCACTTCGGGAAAGCGCTACAGCTGGAAAGCGCTACAGCTGGGATCAACAGATGAGGACACGGACAGCCACTCTGGACGCTGGCTGCCAGGCTCAGTGGTGGGGTCTGGAGCCTTGCCGGCTCAGCAGCAGTGGGTGAGGGCGGATATGGGATTCCCCCTGTGAGTCTCACGGGCCCCCCACTTGTTGTTGTTGTTGCTGAGTGGCTGAAGTTTTTTATTAAGTTATACAATAGTTACTCTGCAGAGAAAAGCAGCTGCCTTCATTGTTTGGCTCTGGCAACATCAGTAGTGACGTCCCCTCCCGCCCTGCCCAAGGAGTACAGAGGTTGAAGATGCACTTTTGGAATGCTATTGGAGCAGGGGTGGTGGTTTTGTTGTTGTTTTACGACAATAATAACCACTATTAGACTGTGACACCCCCTCCCCCCAATCCTTTTTCTTAAGAAAGGTTCACATATCAGATCGATCGATCACACCAGCAACCATTCTCCCTTTGCACCAAATCCCCCACCACCTCCACCTCCTGTTTATCAAAGTCCGAAAAGGCGGCGGCAAACTTGGTTTCTCATCCCCCGGGAGGAGGGGTAAAGGGAGGGTCCATTTAGCTTGCCCTCGTGTCGTCACCGCTCCGCCTAATTGAGAAGGTGTGAACATGGAATCTAGGACCTCCTCGCATTGGCTTTCATGTTGTGGGAGGTGGGACAAGGCATCCGCCAGAGAGTTCGATTTGCCTAGGAAATGGTGTAGGGTGAATTTAAACTTAGAGAAGAAATCAGCCCACTGAAGTTGTTTGGCGTTTAGGTTTCGGGGGGTACGGAGGACTTCGAGATTCTTGTGATCTGTCCACACTTCAAACGGCCCCCTCGCCCCCACCAACCAATGTCTCCATGTGGAGAGTGCTAGCCGGATGGCCCCTGCCTCCTTTTCCCAGACCGACCAATTACGTTCGGTGTCGGTAAATTTGCGGGACACATATGCTAGAGGATGGAGTTTGCCGTCTGCCCCCTCTTGCAGGATCGCACCGGCCATAGCTACATCTGAGGCGTCAGTTTGCACCACAAATGTTTTCGTTTCGTCTGGGTGCACCAAAACGGGTTCAGTGGTAAAAAGAGCTTTTAATTTATCGAACACGTCTTGGCACTCGGGTCCAAAGCAGCTTAGCTCCTGGCTTAGCAGCCTCTGGACCCTTCCCCTTTGTTTTCAGTAAGTCAGTAAGGGGCAAGCTCACTTGAGCAAAGTTTGGCAGAAAATTTCTAAGGAAATTTGCAAACCCTAAGAAACTTTAAAGTTGCCGGCGAGTTCTGGGGGCCTCCCACCCCAACACGTCCTTTACCTTTCCCCGATCCATTTCTATGCTGTGGGGTGAGATGTGATAATCGAGAAAGTCCATTTCAGTCTGATGGAACTTGCATTTTGACAGTTTTGCAAACAGTTTGTGCTTGTGCAACGTTTTGAGCACCTCCCTCACCAACTGCACATGAGAGGATTTGTCGAGGGAGTACAGCAAGATGTTGTCTAAGCAGACCAGTACCCTCTTAAACAAGTGCTTATACAACACCTCATTTATTAAATTCATGAAGACTCCCGGAGCGCCATGGAGACCAAATGGCATCACCAGGTATTCAAACTGGTCCAAAGGGGTATTGAAAGCGGTCTTGAATTCATCCCCCTCCCGTATGCACACCCGAAAGTAAGTGTCCCATAGATCAAGCTTGGAGAAGATATTTCCCTTAGCTACTTCAGCTAAGAGATCTTTGATTAACAGCATGGGGTAAGCATTTGTGGCGGAGATGGCATTCAACTCCCTGTAGTCGGTGCAAAGCCGCAACTCTCCATCTTCTTTTTCTGGAAGACAACGGGGGCTGCAAACGGGGAAGAGGCTGGCCAGATGAAGCCTCTGGCCAGGTTTTTATCAATAAATTTCCGTAATTCCACTTTCTTCCAGGGGCTCATAGCATAGAGCTTCCCCTTGGGCATTTTGTGCCCCGGCAACAACTTGATTGCACAGTCTGAGTTGCGGTGGGGGGGAAGCTTGTCAGCTTCTTCTTCGGCAAATACTCAAGCTAGGTCTCTATACTCCCGAGGGATTTTGGCTAGTTCCTCCGTAGCTAAACATGCCCGAACTTGGTCACTGCTAGGAGCTACACCCCACTTTGTGTTCCACACATGGCATTTGGGGGAGATGAATTTGACAATCCTGTCGCCCCACAAAATATATGGATCATGCCCATGGAGCCACGGGTTTCCCAATACCAGGGGAAATCTGGCCCGCAGGGACACAATAAAAGTCTGTTCTTCCCAATGATCCCTGGCCCCCATGCGTAAGGGCACAGTCTCAGATCTACAGGGCTCTTTCATCGGAGACCCAGCCATTTGGGTGAAGACTAAAGGCTCGGCTAACCGGACCATGTCAGCATCCAGTCCTGAGACCAAGGAGGGGTTGATTGAATCTTGCCCGCACCCCAAGTCTATGAGGCCTCGAACCCTAATATGTGTGCCCATAGCGTGGTTCACAATAGTTACAGTCACGAAAAAGAGGGGTGGATAGCTGCTCACCACTTTAGGTGCCTCCACCGCTGGGTCCTGCTGCTCAGCGCCACTTACAGCAGGACCTGGCCTTTTCCCGCCGGTTCCATCTCTTCCTCCCCGCTCGACTCGTTCTCCAGCACATCCACCTCAGCTTGCAGGGCACGGTGGTTTTTGAGTTTCACCGTTCCTTTTCTGGGAAGTAAGTAGCTCCGGCGCTTGTCAACTTCTTTCCCCATCAATCCTCTCACCTCCCCCGAGGGACAGTTGGCTACGAAATGGCCTTGCTCCCCACATCTTAGGCAAAGTCCCTGTTTCATCCATTGCTCTCTGACTGACGGCAACGGTGGGGTGGCCTTCGCCTTGGGGTGGGGTGGTGCCGTTGCCCTTCGAGCTGCTACCATATCTGTGATGGTGTATTAGCGGAATTTGTATGTTTGGTATCTCGGTGATGCTAGTTTCCCCAGCTGTTGGAATCTCCAGGTAGTGGCTGGAGATCTCCTGGGATTACAACTGATCTGTAGGCAACAGAGATCAGTTCCCCTGGAGAAAATGGCTTCCTTGGAAGGTGGGCTCTAAGGCATTATACCCCATTGAAGTCCCTCCCCTCCCCACCTCCCACCCTCTTCGGGCTCCGCCCCTTGCACAACTCCAGCACTAGCGACTCTACTGGAAGGGTGTGAGTGTGTGAGGGCTTTCCAAAAAGATCAAGCTGGTTTCAGTGGCCAGATTTTTAAAAGCCCAGTCGATGAAGGTGGCTTCTGTCACTGTTGCACTGAGGCAGGCTTTGGTTTACTTTTATCGGTTTCAAAAGACCAGCAGAAAAACTGGGCCAGGGTGTATGTTTGCCAGAAACGCATTCCTTCGATGTGTAGTTTAATTAGAAGAGCTGATTGCTTTGAGGGGGAGAGGGATGCGAGCCGCAGTGGGCCAGAGAATCTCTGGTTGCAAAGACACTGAGGGAGGAAGAGGGGAGGGGAGGGGAGGGGGGGAAAGATTCCTCAGGGTGCCTAAGACATGAACAGTTGCCTCCACTAACAGGTATACCCACTCGCTTTTACTACGGTTATTCTCCCACTCCTCAAGGTAACATTTGGAAGCTGGATATATACTCTAAAACTGGTTGTCTTCAGGTTCCGGTCTCATTACCAGAAGGGAAGGTGAGTCAGGCGGCAGTCTTCAACCCCCTTCCGCTGGCAGCCATCTACGCCAAGGCGATTTGGTCCGTATTGACTCCAGCGGGAAGAAACGAGCAGCAAAAACGGTGTACTTAATGAACCGTTCCCCCGAAAGCAAGCTCTTCCTGATAATTCAGAGAGATTCAGGAGGGTAGCTGTGTTGGTCCGCAGCAGCAGAACAAAGTTTGAGTCTGGTG